TAATGCTACTGCTACTGCTACTGTACTGATAACTGTATGCTCTGCTACTGCTACTGCTACTGTACTGCTACTGCTACTGCTACTGTATGCGACTGCTTATGCTACTGCTATGCTACGTTACTGCTACTGCTACTGTACTGCTACTGGTACTGCTACTGCTACTGCTACTGCTACTGCTTATGTACTGCTACTGCTACTGCTACTGCTATGCTATGCTATGCTATGTACTGCTATGCTACTGCTACTGCTACTGCTCTGGTACTTGCTATGCTATGCTACTGCTACTGCTGACTGCTATGCTACTGCTTACTGCTACTGTACTGCTACTGCTAATGGCCTATGCTACTCGCTATGCTACTGCTACTGGGCCCCTTTACGTAATGCCCTAACTGCCCCTACTGCCTTAACTGCTATGCTACTGCTACTGCTACTGCTTACTGCTAATGTAATGTACTGCTACTGCTTTACTGCTACTGCTATGCTACTGTATGCTGCTCTGCAGCTGTACTGCTACTGGTACTGTCTGCTACTGCTATGCTACTGCTATGCTGCTGCTACTGCTACTGCTACTTAGCCTACTGCACTGCTACTGCTCTGATATTAGCTACTTGCTAACTGCTACTGCTAACTGCTATGCTAATGCTAATGCTACTGCTACTGCACTGGCTACTGCTACTGCTTGCTAACTGATACTGCTATGGCCACTGCTAATAGATATTGTACGTGGCTTACTGTACTGCTACTTGCTACTGATACTGTACTGCTTACTGAATCGCTAACTGCTACTGCTACTGCTACTGTACTGCTACTGTACTGCTATGCTACGCTCCTGCTACTGCTAACTGACTTATAAGCTAATACGCCTACTGCTACTGCTACTGTACTTTGCTACTGCTAACTGCTACAGCTACTGCATATCCGCTACTGCACTGCATGACTACTGCTACTAGCTACTGCTACTGCCTATGCTACTCGCTAATGCCTTACTACGCTACGACTACTTGCTACTAGCTACCCTGCTACTCTACCTGCCCTATGCTTACTGCTACTGCTACTGTACTGCTCTGATTGCTACTGCTAAACTGCTATGTACTGCTACTACGCTACTGCTAATCTCTCTATGCTATGGCTACTGTACTCGGCTACTGTACTGCAATAGTATGCTATGCATGCTAGGTACTGCTACTCAGCTATGCTACGCTATCGTACTGTACTGGCTACTGCTATTGCTACTGCTACTGATATGCTACTGCTACTGCTTACTGCTATGTACTGTATGCTATGTACTGCTACTGTTAGCAGTACTGCTCTGCTACCTGCTATCTACTGCTACTGCTACTGCTACTTGCTACTGACTGCTACTGCTACTAGCTACTGCTACTGCTACTGCTACCAGCCTACTGCTACTGCTATCTGCTACCTGCTATGCTAGATATGCTACTGCTCCTGCTACTGTAACTGCTAATGCTACTGCTACTGATACTGCTACTGCTAGCTACTGTACTGCTGACTGCTTATGCTATGATACGCTACTGCTAGCTGCTATGCTATGTACGGCTACTGCTACTGACTATTTTTTTTTTTTTTTTTTCTTTTTTTTTTTTTTTTATTTTTTTTTTCTTTTTTCTTTTTTTTTTTTTTTTTTTTTTTTTTTTTTATTTTGTTGTTTTTTATTTTTTTTTTTTTTTTTTTTTTTTTTTTGTTTTTTGTTTTTTTTTTTTTTTTTTGGTTTTTTTTTGTTTTTTTGCTGCTACTGTACGTCTGCTACTGCTATGCTACTGCTACTGCTCTGTACTGTATGCTAATGCTATGCTACTGGCTACTGCTACTGGCTACTGCTATGTACTGCTACTGGCTACTGCTATGTACTGCTACTGCTACTGCTACTGCTACGCTACTGCTCTGCTATGATACTGCTACTGATACTGCTACTGTACTGCTACTGTCTACTGCTCTGCTCTGCTACTGCTACTGTATTGCTACTGCTAATGTACTGCTATGCTACTGACTCTGCTACTGCTACTGGCTACTGCTACTGCTACTGCTACTGCTGACTGCTACTGCTATGCTATGCTACTACTACTACTACTACTACTACTACTACTACTACTACTACTACTACTACTACTACTACTGTTACAACTACTGCACCTACACTACAACTGCTATTACACTGCTACTACACTGCTGCTGCTGCTGCTACGGTGCTGCCGCTGCCATGCTCCTGCTGCTGATACAGCAGCAGCTGCTGCAACGCTGCTGCTGCGGCAACGCTGCGGCTGATACACTGCTGCCGCTACTGCTACGGTGCTACGGCTGATACTACCACACTGATACGGCTGATGCTACTACGCTGCTGCTGCTACGTACCTGGTGGCGCCTCTACGCTGATGCTGCTACGCCGCCGCTACTACTGCTACTGCTACTACTACCACCACCACCACTACCATTACCATTACCACTACTACTACTACTATACTTACCCCCATAATTTTCCCCAGAATCCGAAATCCCGCCTCTGACGTGCGCCGTCAACGGGAAGACAACATAAGAGAAGATACCTCAGGATTGGAATCACTTAACAAGAAAGAATTTTGGCAACTCGAATAGTTCTAAGAATTAATTTCCAAGATGATCCATCACCCATTTATCAGGATAGGTTCAATAGTCGTTTTCGGGGCAACAATATATTCAGAATGTTCAAATAAAAACAAACCTATAGTTAAATTACGTTAAATAGAAGACATGCCACATATCAATATTATTTGTAATTGTCTAAATATCTTAGGAGAATTTCAAACATTAACCGAAATTTGTCACAATAATACTTCCGAAAAATTATAACATACCAGTATTGATATTTACTAACTATAATGACCCCCTTTTTTTTAAGTTGGCATTCGCAAAACACAATGAAATTTTCACATTTTCGTGTTTTACATTTTCACACTAACACATGGCCTCGATACTTTTGCAGACAATCACATGTTTCGTTTTCTGATGAATTTCTTCGTTTAGATTGTTTTCGTGGTGCCTTCACATGTTTTTGAAGATGCGAAGGATACGCTTGAAAAATGCTCGGGACAGCTCCTCAACACGGTTTTCTGTTCTGGCGAAGGCGCGTACGAGAAGTTGCTACCTGGCGGTCCTCTTGACAACTGATTGCGACGAGACGTGACATATAATGACGTATACAGGATATGGAGGATTACTCTCAAGCGCACTATAACGGCGGATTTCTCCCAAGCGGAAAGCGCTCAACGCCACCGAAGAGTCTTGGAGACGCGTTGCCTCAATTCAGACGCAACAAATTTACTGACGTTCTGTCAATTATTAACTGCATTTAATGCATTATTTATCATATTTAGAGAATGTTTTCATTTGATATCAGATTTATTGATTCAAAATGTTCACTTGATGAATTCTCTGGGTAAAGTTGGCCGCTCTGGGAAGAAATACCTTCATGTTTTCCACTATGGATGCATATTTCCGCCTACAACAGTCTGCACTTATGGTCGGAGAGTGCTAGTGGGAATACGAGCGTGTGTGTGGAGATATTTTATTACAAAATATACCAGGGTAGTGAAATTTTTGAAATAAAGTAATTTTATTTGTGTGAAACGTGTCGAAGCAATATAGTGCGATTTTTTAATTGCGCACCTGGGCCTTGTCTTTACTTTTGGCATTATCACTGCATTTCGTGTCTTTCTCAGCGTGCCGCTAGATGTCGCGTAATCGCCACTGTATCAAGCACTACTTGATACGGTCGCGACATCCAGCGGCGCGACCGAGAAAGACGAGAAATGCGGTGAATAATGCCAATATGGGGCTGAGGGGCACACTTAAACAAATCACGCTATAGTGCTTGTGGCAACGTGCTGGAGTCGACCTTAGTAAGCGCCCAGTGGAAATCTTCGGCAAAACTACATGCGCGGAAGGTGAGTATATACCTGACACGAACACCATACATAAAATTATGTAAGTAATGCTTCAAAATGTACTTTTATTTAACTTAGTTTTAATTACTTGAATTGTTCACATTTGTATTATATATTTGTATTTTAAATTTTAGATATTACATTTCCGTCATTTGATACACATGTAGCCTCGAGTCTGTTCGCGCACCAGCCGCCAGTGTTGTTGTTGCTGTTGCTGCAATTACGCTATTAATCGCTGCGCCGTAGTAATATACTTCGTCATGGCGGAATCTAGCCGATGTTCTCCGCAGTACATCCGAATTAGCCGATCTTGGTTCTTACCCCGGCGCTGTGCCTGCTGGGATTTTTCTCACAAGCTGACGAATCGTACTCGAAGACAATGAAGTGGCAACTATAATATTTTCATGTTTCTGGGGAATATGAAGTCTGTTTCGGCGCGACGCACAACGACTGGAGCATTACAATTGGTGCGTTCGTGTTCTGTTCCATGTTCAACCTTTCGGTATTGTTACGTTCACTCTTGGGCTTTTTTTTTTTAATGTATTAAGATCACAAATAATATACCGCCATTCTTTATTCCTCCATTATAATAATTTGCTCTCCAACACGACACACTATTTCGTAGTGTGAAGCAACCCGTTTCATTAGTTCCATATATCAGAATAAAAGCGTCATCCATTTTGGATGAAAATTATGTGAGGAGTCATTTGAATTTTGCCAATTTTTTTCGAATTCGCAGGCGACTCGTTTTTGAATAGTGTGTTAATATTTACAAACTCAAAATGATTTTCCCTTCCCTAATTCGTCTCCAAATTACTCTCATAGGCTAGAAGCTCCTGAACGTCTAGCTTACGGACAGATGTGATTTTATATCAAAGGATAATTAAAAACTGTATGCGACGTAGGTGAGAGAATTACAATACCGTGTTAACATGTTACTTGTGTTTCATTTGGAGATGTTGCAAAAAGCTTTGCGAACTTGATTATAAGCATTAGACATATAGTATAAAATCAAAAGAAGTGGGAGAAGAACACAAACCATGTTTAGCAATTTTTTTTATTCCTTTATTTTGCATGGAAAAAGTGTAGCTTACAATGATCATGTCCATTGTTAAACAATATATTTGGACCTTGATCTATTATACAAATTATGACATTTAATCTAGTGAATATAGGATACAAATTTTATTTCATGTAGGTGTATTATTTCATTACATATCCATTTATATTACTATACAGGAGGCGGTCCGTAAGGATATACATACTTTATGCTGAATAGCTCCCTCAGACGATCCATCGTATTTGGCTGTGTATGATACACAATTTCATCACGTGGACATGTGAAAGCTAAGTAAAACCAACTAGCGGCTAATAGTGCGAAAATTGCAGCATATGTGAGGTAGCTCTTGGATTCACGCGCCTTCTGGCCTACAGATTCTGCCATTGTGCTCTGGGCAGAAAACCTGAAGGGAACCAAATAAATATATTGTAGAATTGGTTTCTTGCCTCACTTTTAATACAATTTCAGAGGATCATTAGTTTGGTCAATTATTCTTTAAGCTGCCGATGTTTCAATCTTTTATTTAGCCTTCTTTAGGGCAGTTAGAATAGTAATCTACAATACAAATTAACTCGTGCATTTAAATGCTTAACAATGTTCTACACACTTCCTCTTTCTCAACAATTGTCTATAGAAATCCACTCCACCAGCATCTTAAATAACAATTAAATACAAATACCCAATCACTTCTTGATAATATATTTAACTTTTAATATGGAAGACAAGAGCTCAGGATTTTTCGTTTCGACTTTTTATTAGGATATTCTTTGCTTTTATCAACACTAAGAGTAAAGTATGTACGTATGTAATTACAGTGTGTGTTCGAAGAATATGTCCATGTTCAGTGCGTCTGCTTTACATCGTCTGTTAGGTATAATAGAGCCGGAAGTTCGAAATTTATCGGGTAAAAAAGTTGTGTATTTAAAGTTACACAGGTCAGCAACCAGACGTATCAATGCATATAACAAGTAGCTAGGTTATACAGTCGCCTCTTGTCACGAAAAAAAAAGGATTAATTTAAGCGATAGTATTTGGTCTTAACTCGCTAATCAACATTCTGACATTTTGGCGAGGTTTGCTATAACTGAAGTGTGATATGTAGTCATTTAGCCCTGAAAAAGCCAGAGTCGTCGAAACATCGGCATTACTAGAACGCTAATTGACCTGGACTGTTTGAACACCAACATTAAAAAAAAAAAGACGGTGGTTCACGCAACAAATTTTGATTTCAATCAGAGCCGCCAAGAGGGGGGGGGGGCAAAAGAAGTTGCTTAGACAGTTCATGGGGCATTTTAGTTGCTCCACATGTTTATTACCATCAGCAAGTATATTTTTCCCAATCCCCAATATCCAGTTTACCACAGATTACAACGTACACCAGACGGCAATGGTTTTGTGAAAAAATAATAAATTATTACTTTGGACAAACATGAGAAAGCATGCACTTAGTACGATTCCATGAAAAAAAGCCAAAACACTTGGTGCATTTAGATTGCGCTGTTTTCACAGTTTCTTTGTATCAAGCTCTGAGAATTGCCTTGGCACCTCTCCCTGATACTACCTTGCACACAGCTTCACCACCCTGATGTGTACAATTTTGCATTACATAACATTTGTATCATGCTCGACCTCAAACATACCGAAGAATTGCCTTAAGTCAAATTATTTAATGACTATGATTCCTCCTTATGATACACAAAAAGGATGTTTTGTCTGTATGCGTCTTAACTAATGTCATAGCTCGAGAGTAGAATCTGGTCGGATTCTCGAAATTCTTGACGATGGCATACTATTCCGGCAATGAAATTTCATGGTATACATCACTTCACGGTCGGTATGAAGACACACATAAATTAGTTCACTTTTCAGGAGAAAAGAAAGAAGCCACCAAAATGATAGCCATTCTCAACTGAAGGGAACCTTCACAAAATCATTGCAAATGGTTCCCATACAACAATTTGATTTTTTTATATTATTTTACGAAGATTAAAACCTTGTAGTACAGAAAATAAAATGAACATCTTACCGTTGTCAGTATCTTTCGTTTATATATTTATTCACTTCAACCGCAGAACAGTTCATTACGATAGACAAAATTAACATGAAGAGAAACTTATCGGCAATCTGAGTGTTGATTTCCATGGCTGTTGAGTTTTGATAGTCGATTGATATAAGTTTTACATTTAGACAAAACGGAAGCAATTAATCACAATTAATTACAATTTTGGGATTATTTTAGCACTTGGTTTTGGCGATTATTCTTAGAATTATATAATATTTCGAATACAGTTTTTTATGTATAAAATAATAAAAACAAATACTAACTTTCTGCCTTTCTTTCCAGTTTTTGTGGTTGAGACTGGGCTATACATCTTTTTACTGTTCTTCTGAACTTTTACTTTGTTGAATGCGTATGTTCCTGAAGAATTATTACAAGATGATGCGACAGTCTCAAAAGTAAGAGAGTCTGTAGATTCCATTTTACATGTGCTTAGAAATCCACTATTTGATTGCAGCGACGTCGATGAATCATGGTAAGGTTTGTTGATTCTAGTTAATTAGAAAGAATTATCATTAGAATTTACTCACAATCAGCGTAGCAGTAGCGTGTGCTTCATGTACGCAAGGTACGCACTGCGTACCCCGCAACTTAGAAAAAAATGGTAAGATTTATTTTCTGTTACAAATAACATTAATCTTTTAATTTATCGAAAGTGTGGTGTCGTTTCACACTACCAGTTATAAAATGCCTACGATTGCCAAGCATCCGTGTGTGCGTGTGCGCGTGTGTGTGTGTGCGTGTGCACGTGTGTGTGTGCGTGTGCGCGTGTGTGCGTGTGCGCGCGTGTGCGAGCGTGCGCGCGCGTGTGCGAGCGTGTGTGTGTGTGTGTGCGCGCACGTGTGCGAGCGTGTGTGTGTGTGTGCGCGCACGTGTGCGAGCGTG